TGAAATATGGTCCCTTTTTAGGCACCCTTAACCATTAGGGGCCGCCTTCGAATTGTGACCGCAACAGGGACCAGAATCAAGAGAAGTGACCATATGCCGGGCACTTTGTGGTGCTTGCTTTGCTGCCTCCTAAGAGCCAAGGGTATATGACGGTGCTTGCAGGAGGTGGCTTCCAGGGTTTAGGGTTTAGGGTTTAGGGTTTAGGGTTTAGGGTTTAGGGTTTAGGGTTTAGGGGCAGTAGTTCACTCATTCATCCTGCGAGGCCCGAAGCCCTAAACACTTCAAACCCAAAGATTGTGAACCCTTCCTCCAACCAGGCACCCGAAGCCCTGAATCCTAAACCCTAAACCCTGAACCCTAAACCCTAAACCTTAAACCCTAAACCCTAAACCTAAACCCTAAACCCTAAACCCTAAACCCTAAACCCTAAACCCTAAACCCTAAACCCTAAACCCTAAACCCTAAACCCTAAACCCTAAACCCTAAACCCTAAACCCTAAACCCTAAACCCTAAACCCTAAACCCAATCATTGCTACCAGGTCCTACCACGCATGCGCGGTGCGGACCCTGCCTTTGCCACTCGATCTGCAGACCGCCACGCTTGGGTTTAGGATCTGGGAGGGGATCTCAAGCTCGGGATACCTGTGTATGGTAGGGTTTAGGGTTTAGGGTTTAGGGTTTAGGGTTTAGGGTTTAGGGTTTAGGGTTTAGGGTTTAGGGTTTAGGGTTTAGGGTTTAGGGTTTAGGGTCAAGGAGTAGAGGCTTTTTGGGGGGTACATTAAGGGATTCCTGCAAATGCCCATGCAGCTTTGTTGGGCTTCTATTGTTTTTCAGTTAGAATTGCAAGTGTTGGTGTTTCGCAGGGTCTTGAATACACTCCTGCAGGGGCATGCGTCCGTCTGTGGCCGGGAGGGTGCTGTGTACGGCGATGGCGACAGCAGATGAGTGAGCTAGGGTTTGGGGTTCCCGCAAACCCTAAACCCTAAACCCTAAACCCTAAACCCTAAACCCTAAACCCTAAACCCCCAAAAGCCCAAACCCTAAACCCCTCAGTCTTGGAGGAAAACTACAGCTGGGGACTTGCAGGGCTTATAGGGTTCAGGGGAGCGGGGGGGTGGGGGGGGGCTCTCAGGGTGGTTACATGGTCCCTTATTACGGTCCCTTACCTTCTTTAAAGGCTTCTGAAGTATGAGCCCATGCATTGTCGATGGGGTATTTTTGGCGCAAGGAAGACGGCCCATATGAAGGGACCATGTACCCACCCGAAACTTAGGGCTCAGCGGCACGAGGGTCAGGGCTTACTGTTTGGATCTGCTTGGTTCAGGATTCGGGCGCTTGGATTTCCTACACCGCTGAAACGCAGCAAAAGGCCGATTCTCCCAGAGGAGAACCCTAAACTCTAAACCCTCCCACAGGAGAACCCTAAACTGTAAGCCCTATATATATATATATATATATAGTGTATATACATTTGAAACATCCAAAGTATTACTCCCACCTCAATTTCAGGGGCGTATTGGGGCCCCTTGGAATCTGGAGGCGAAAACCTTCCTGGAGCTACTGCGGCAGCAGCGGCCGCAGGCGTTCAGGCAGGGCAGCAGTCAGTAGGTTTGAGTTTGGGGTTTGGGGTTTGGGGTTTGGGGTTTGGGGTTTTCGGTTTTTTTTGTTTTCGGTTTTCGGTTTCGGGTTTCGGGTTTCGGGCCAGTTTAGGGCGTATAGGGCCAGAGTTTTACGAAACAGTGTCTGAGGGTTTGGCGGGGTTTGTCGGAAGTGAGTGGCATTTCGGCTGGGGCGGGTTTAGGGTTTAAGGTTTAGGGTTTAGGGTTTAGGGTTTAGGGTTTAGGGGGTTGGTGGGGTTTGGGGCGCAGGATGTGGGTGGCTGCTTCGCTTCCGAAGCGGTTCCCAGCAAGACCCAATATTACAAGCTACATAAGTGCCCTTACAATGGATGAAGGTATGTACATACATATATATATATATATATATATGTATGTATACATGTCCGTATATCTATTTAAGAGCCTCCGGCTCAAGCCGCCGACCCCGCTGGAGCATAGTTGAGACCCGCTCGCATGGAAGATCATCCCCGGCAGAGTTCTGTGAATCGTTTGGGGGGGGGTAGGGGGTAGCACCAGGACAAGCTCAAGCCAAAAAGACAGGTGGGTGGGGGTGGGGGGGTGGGGGGGTGGGGTTGGGAGGGGGGTGGTTGGGGGGGGGGGGGGGGGGCGGGGGGGGGAGGTTGGGGGGGGGGGGGGGTTTGGGGGGGGGTGGGTGCGGGGGGTGGGGGGGGGGGGGGGGGGGGGGGGGGGGGGGTGCGGGTGGGGGGGGGGGGCATGGGGGTATCTTGGGGGGGGGCGGGAGGCGGGAAACGCTGATTTTGCTGAGGGCGTCCTACCGCCCAGTAGAACCCCCCGCTAGTTACGCTGTGCGTGGGTGGCGGTCCTCCACGAGAAAAAATGGTGTGCACCGAACCCCCCCACCACCCGGCCCCAACCCCGCCCCCTCCCCCCCACCCTCTCCCCCCCCCCCCCCCACCCCCTCCCCCACCCCCCCCCCGCGTTTTGGGGGGGGGTAAGGAGGGAAAGAGGGAGGTTTCACCTCCTTTTCCCATCCAACACGCCGCCAGGGTCAGCGGATTCATTCCTAAACCCTAAACCCTAAACCCTAAACCCTAAACCCTAAACCGTAAACCCTAAACCCTAAACCCTAAATGCACTTTCGTAAATACAGGCCATGGGGAACTCTGAGTGCGCAGGTTCATTCCAGACGGGGATCCTGCGCACGACGAGGCGGCGGCAAAGCCGGCAGTGGTGGGAGCTTCTCTGTGCGGCCCCAAGTAGGGGGTGTAATTCGGGTTTGGGGGAGGAGGGTCTAGGGTTTAGGGTTTAGGGTTTGGGGTTTAGGGTTGAGGCTTTAGGGTTTAGGGTTGTAGTTGTCGTCGCTTTGATCCTTGCTTGCACCCTGACAACGCCCCAAAGCCTCCTTCGGGCTCTGGGGTAGGGTGCTATAAAGCCCGAACATGCCCGAACCCTAAAAAATTGTAGGGTGGGGTCCCAGGGGCCGCAAAAGGGCTCTGGCAGCATCCCGGGTCCAAATACGCCCCAAGCCCTAAAACGCAGTATCTTGGGGGGTACTTGGAGTTTCCGAGTTTTTTCGAGGAAACCGTCCAGCTGCGACCCACAGCTCTGACAACCCTTTTAGCCCCTAGACGCCCTAGACGCCTTATGAACTCTAGACCCTTCATCCTAAACTCTTGCCGCTAAACCCTGAACCCCAAACCCTAAACCTTCTGGAGCCCAAACTCTTTCCCCCTGAGCTGATGCCCACGAGTCCCACGAGCCTCCAGCCTAAACCCTCGCTATCCCACAGGGGTTGAGGGTCTCGGGGTTAGGGACGGAAAAGGGTTCTATGGCTTAGGGACTAAAAACCAACCCCCAACCTTAAACCTTAAACCCTAAACCCGAAACCCTAAACCCTGAACCCTGAACCCTGAACCCTGAACCCTGAACCCTAAACCCTAAACCCCAAACCCCAAACCCTAAACCCAACTACGGTTGACCGAAAACCCAAGAGCCCTCACCGGCCAGATCCTGGCAGCTACATCGGCGCCGATGTGAGTCGCTAAGTTTAGGAGAGTGCCGGCCGTGTGCTCAGGGGGCTTGCAAACAGGGTTCAGGGCCTTTAGGGTTTAGGGTTTAGGGTTTCGGGTTTCGGGTTTCGGGTTTCGGGTTTGGGGTTTAGGGTTTAGGGTTTAGGGTTTAGACCCTACCGGGACTCTATCTACCTACAGTTTAGTAGTCCCTGCCCCTCAATTCATCGGCATAACCCATTAAACTGCAGGTAAAGAGAGTCCCACGCATAACCTGTACCCATGTGCCCTAAACCCTTTTTACCCTAAACAATATACTCCCTAAGCCCTAACCCGGTTTAGGGCTTCGGGCCTAGAATCTTAGACTTAGGGGGATGGGAACCCCTAAACCCTAAAAACTAAACCCTAAACCCTAAACCCTAAACCCTAAATTTACCCTTTTCTTTGCTCCTTTGTTAAACGGGGTTTGGGTTCCCAAGCCATGATTTAGGCCAGCACGCGGTGCCCCTCCTTCATGCTTAGGCTTAGGGCTTAGGGCTTAGGGCTAAGTTTCGGGAGGGCCTAGCCTGCTTGGCACTTGGATTGGGGCCTTTTCTTCCCTGCCCCCTAAGCACAAAAGCCCAAAAGCCCTAAAACACCACAGCCTTAAGATCCTAGCATGCCTTAACCCCCCCCCCCACCCCCCAGATATAACCCCCGAAATCCCCTAAACCCTAGCCACTAACCCTAAACCCTAAACCCTAAACCCTAGTGAGCCACAAGCCCTTTGGAGTGCCAGAACTCAGGGCCAAGCACAAGTTCTACAGGGCGCAAGTTGTGAGTTCTGGGGTTCGAGAAGATCTTACGCACGGGGTGCCCGAAGAAGGGACCATGATCAAGAGCATATTGAGCTTCGTGTTTTTTTTTTTTCAGTTTTTCTGCGTTGCCCAGAACCCAAACCCTAAACCCTAAACCTTAAAGTCTCAGCCGTGAAACCCAAACCCCAAACCCCAAACCCCAAACCCCAAACCCCAAACCCCAAACCCCAAACCCCAAACCCCAAACCCCAAACCCCAAACCCCAAACCCCAAACCCCAAACCCCGAACCCAAACCATGCTACTCTGCCTCAGCCCATAGGTTGCTCCAGCCGAGCGACAGGGGCCAGAAATGTTATGGGAAAGTGACACTCCATGATTCCATCATGCCAAGCTCTTAGGCATATCAGTGATATGTTCGCCTCTGGGAGCATGACATTCCATGACACCAAAGCACGGTTTAGGGTTTAGGGTTTAGGGTTTAGGGTTTAGGATTTAGGGTTGAGGGTTGAGGGTTTAGGGTTTAGGCTTTGGTGTAAAACTTGCAGGGTTTCTAGTTGGGTCTCAGTGCCCTTCAGAGCGACATCCAGGAGCGCTCCTCCATTCAGCCCATGCATGTTTGCGCCAGATGTGTCCCTCTTGCTAAGTCCGACCGAGATCGACATCAGCTCCGGCGATGATGAGCCAGCTGAGCAACCGCCGCAAGTGCCAAAGGATGAAGAAGACCTCCCTTTGAGCATCTTGTTCGCAGACGAGCTTCCTAAGACACCTGGGCCGAGTGCTGGAACACCCGGAAGTGACGGCAGCGAAGTTGTGGAGGTGACCGAAGCGTTGCAAGAACGGTGGCCAAGGAAGGCCTCGCCCCAGAAGGCCTCGCCCCAGAAGGCCTCACCCGAGGCCTCACCCCAGAAGGCCACACCCCAGAAGGCCTCACCCCAGAAGGCCTCACCCAAGAAGGCCTCACCCAAGAAGGCCTCACCCAAGACGGCCTCACCCAAGAAGGCCTCACCCAAGAAGGCCTCACCCCAGGCCAGGATGCTGCCCGGCAACTCCCCGAAGCCTCGAGGCAGAGGACCCAGCCCAGGAGCATCCGAGGTGGCAGGCAGCGTGGTTTGCCGCAAAGCAGAGATCCATCGCAGAGAAGACATCAGCAGCCCCCGCGCGCCAAGCACGCCCGCGCGGTCCTTGCGGGCCCTGCAGAGCTTGCCCGAGGCGCTTTCCCCTCGCTCCGCATCCCAGGGACAGAGCCCACGACATCTGAGCCCCGGCCCAAAGAGTCCCAAGCCAGCTGCGCCTAAGCCCCCGGCCTTGGCCGGCAAGCGTAAGACCCTTGCCCAGCGCCTGCAGGAAAGGCAGAAGCAAGCAAGGACGGCGAAGAGAGCAGAGGACACTCTATCCCCCAGTTGGGAATTATGTTCTTTATAAATTTTGTTTATATAAAACCCAAGAGGATATTAAAAGTATTGGTTTTAATAAGGTTCTAAGGGGATGTAGAGGACAAGGAGGCCAGAGCAGCCTCGAGAGCTGTGGCGAAGCAGGCGAAGGTCGAAAAGATTGAGCAGCTACTGGCAGACACCATCCGTGGCGACCGCAAGTTCTACGAGAAGCTGCTGTGTTTCGAAGTCATGGACATAGAGGATGTGGCGAAGTGGGTTCACGCGGCGAATGAAGACCTGCGATCGGTCGGGCGGAAGCGCATACGGGACTTCCTTGAGGCCCAGGGCTTCGTAGTTACGCAGCAGCGGAAGATGCCACAGGAGGTCTTTGCGAAAGCCATGTTTCGGCCCTTCAGATGAAGTTGGGTGCGCTATCGACACGACACATGCTCTTGGATTCGTGTCTAGCTAGAGAGCCAAAAAGTCGAGGCGCGTGTCTGTAACTGTGTTTCAACCTGTCTAGCAGTTCGCCATAGGGTTTAGGGTTTAGGGTTTAGGGTTTAGGGTTTAGGGTTTAGGGTTTAGGGTTTAGGGTTTAGGGTTTAGGGTTTAGGGCGGCAGACGTACCGCGATGCCTAACTAGGAATCTCCTACGGGGCCATGGTCGCTGGTAGCAGTGACATAGGGTTAGGATTTCTGAAAGCCAGGAGAGAACCCGAAACTCTGAAGCTTAAACCATATATATACCCTTATCCCTAAACCTTCAAGTAAGAAAAAATCACAGACTACCATGCTTTGCTATAGTCTACTTTGGTGCAGGGGGCTGGCTCCCCCATACGTGCTACAACCTTAGCCCAAAGCTCCACGCAAGCCCTGGCCCTGAAAGGGTTCCGAGTTTAGGGTATAGAGGGTTTACGGTTTGGGGTTTAGGGTTTGGGGTTTAGGGTTTAGGGTTTAGGGTTTAGGGTAACTCCACCGAACCCTCCGTACAATCTCACAACCTTCAACCTCCAATCCCAAGCTCCAAACTCTGAAGCCTGGGCTGCCCCACGAGCTGCCAGTGAGTTTGAACCTACTGAACCCCTTTTTTTTATGGGTTCAATTCTGAGTGTTTAGGGTTGAGGGGTTAAGGTAACTTTAGGACCCAGAGTACGCCCTTACTTCCTCTTTCAAGGGTGTAGGTTCCCTTGTTGAAGCCCTTCTATGCCAAAAAGAGCACGCTTCTCATTCCCAGGCTATGCTTTGGTCTAGTATAGTACCCCAGACCCACAAACCTGCACAGCTCTGAGAACTAAGACTCCCGAAGTAAAACAGGGTTAGGGTTTAGGGTTTAGGGTTTAGGGTTTAGGGTTTAGGGTTTAGGGTTTAGGGTTTAGGGTTTAGGGTTTAGGGTTTAGGGTTTAGGGTTTAGGGTTTAGGGTTTAGGGTTTAGGGGAGGGTTCCGCAAAGGGAAGCGCAATTCCAAAGCCATAATCAGCCTCCCCTCCGAGCGGACAGGCCCTGGACCCGAAACCCGAAACCCTAACCCCAGAAACCCAAGCCCTAACCCCTAGACCCAGAAAACTTCTAAACCCTAAACCCCTAAACCCTGAGCCCTAAACTCTAAACCCCGAACCCCTAAACCCTAGCCCTACCCCTAAACCCCTAAACCCCTAAGCCGTAAACCCCTAAACACCTAAACCCTAAACCCTTAAACTTCCAAACCCGAAACCCCTAAACCCTAAGCCCTTAAAATTAAACCCTACAGTTCTAATCAAACCCCTAAACCCCGAAGCCCTAAACTCTAACCATCCAAGGCGCGAGTTCATCCGTCCCGGCCGCCCTCTCATCATCGAGGGCCTGGGACCACACCTGGTGCCCCCTGGACTGAGGCCTAGGGTTTAGGGTTTAGCGTTTAGCGTTCAGGGTTTAGTCAGGGTTTATGTTTTCGGGGTGCAGGATTTTTTGGCAGAATTCGGATTTAGGGTTTAGTTAGGGTTTAGGGTCTGAGCCCGACACCCCCCCAAAGCCCTATAGACCCTAAAACCCTACCCCAAACCCTAAACCCTAAACCCTAAACACCCTATCGGGTTTAGGCTCACGGCGCTTAAGCCGAAGCCTGGGGATCACCGAATAGCACGTTCTCCGCATGTCTTTTCGGGTCCTCTCCCTTAACCCAAGAGCAGCGCGCTCATTGAGAAAGCATACAGCACTCCCCAACCCCACAAAACGCGTCGTAGACATTTACGAAGTAAGTACACGGAGGAGGTACCAAACATACAAGGAGGCCCCCCCCCCCCCCCGCAGTTATACGTAGAGTTATAAGGACCCTAAATTGGGTTATAAGGATCCTAAATTAAGTTCTAAGTCCCTTCACTACAGTTCGTATAGTAAGGGGGGCTCCTTCTTGTAGGTTCCCCCCGTAACTAAGGCTATTTCAGGGGGGAACCTAGGGGGGGGGGGTACTACATTATAACTTCCATGATATTTCGAGTAGTTTAGGCCGTTGCCCGCTCCAACTCTCCGACCTGCCAGCTTCCCCAAGCCTAAACCCTAGACCCTAGACCCTAAACCCTAAACCCTAAACCCTAAACCCTAAACCGAGGTCCAAAGAAAGCTGCAATCTGAGCCGAGATTGGCCGGGGGCTTGTTTGGGGGCTTGTAGCCTTAACTGAAAGTTCTTGCCACTTCGCTAAATCATGGTTCGTATCGGCTTAGGGTTTAGGGTTTAGGGTTTAGGGTTTGGGGTTTGGGGTTTGGGGTTTGGGGTTTAGGGTTTAGGGTTTAGGGTTTAGGCTTATATGCATATATGTGTATCGCATCTATTTGTGACTGACTCACTCCCTCGCTCGCTCGCTCGCTCTCTCTCTCTCTCTCTCTCTCTCTGTTTATATACACATATGCATATACCTATGTTTGTAGAGATCTCTATACGTATGTCTACTTGTCTAGATATCGATATATACACACATATTTGTTGATGTCACGGGGCCGTGTCATTGCAGAGACCCGCTAGAAATGTTTTTCAAGGAGCTGACCTTGTAGGCTTCAGGTTCAGGGCTTGGGGCTTACATGTTACAGGGATTTAGGGTTTAGAGTAGGGTTTAGGGTGTAGGGCTTAGGGTTTAGGGTGCAGAGTTTAGGGTTAAGGGTTCAGAGTTTATAATATAGGGTTTATAGGGTTTAGGGTTTATAGGGTTTAGGGTTTATAGGGTTTAGGGTTTAGGGTTTGTAGGGTTTAGGGTTTGGGGTTTTTCAAAGCAATGAAGGCAAGGCTGCTGGACCTTTGGGGGGGAACATCGTGGTTCGATAGCTAAGGCTCAGCACCCACTTCGGGGAGAAGATGGCGCGCCCGCTCTGGTGCTTGCTATTCTGCGGGGTCATGTCATGGGCCCCCGAATTTCAAAAACCCTAAACCCCTTAGAGCCCCTACACCCCCCTAAACCCTAAACCCTAAACCCTAAACCCACTACCCACTAATTAAACCCTAAACCCAAGTTTTAAGGGCTTCGGGTTCAGGATGTGGAGTGCCAAAAGAGTTCTCGGGCCATTTTGGAGGGATCCCTATGCTACAAGCTGAGGCATGTGTTCTAACTTTGCAAGTAAAGTAGTTAACCTTTAACACTTTAATGTGTTACAATCTCTATACAATCCCAAAGGATATAACATTTAGTTCCCTTAGGCTACTGGACAACGAAAGTGAATGAAGGGCTTAGAGTGTGTTTAGACGCGTAACCCAAGCTTCCGATATCGAGCCCTCAAGCCTAAACCCTGCCTGGGGCTCTGCTTACCTACAGTTTAGTTGTTAGTATCCCTCAAGTAGTAGGTATCACCCAGAAAACTGTAGGTAAAGAGAGTCCAAGGTAAACCCTAACCCCCCCCAGCCTGAGCTCCTAGCGGACAGGTCGCCGTGTACAGGAACTTCTGCGACCCGGAGCTGCGGCAGGGTGAGGAGCGGGGGCTCTCCTAGGGTTTTGGGCTTGGGAGGTTTACGCCCTTCTGCTTGGTTTAGGTGTTTGTTTAGGGTTTTAGGGTTTAGGGTTAGGGTGAAGGATTAAGGATGCTTTATCGTTTTTAGGATGTAGCGGGTTTTAGGGTTTAGGGTTTAGAGGATTCAGGCTTGAGGGTTAAGCCCTAGAAACCCTATCAACCCAATAAACTCCACGAACCCAAAAAGCCTTTAAACCCTACAATTAAACCCTAAACCCTAAACCCTAGACCCTATAAACCCTAAACCCTAAAAGTTCGAACACCTCGTAGCGACTGTGCGCCTCGACGTAGCGACTTTGCGCCTCACCGCAGGACCAGGTAGATCTGATGAGGCTCTCCGAGGTCTGGCAACAGTTTGGTTTAGGGACGAGGGATTCGGGAGTTTAGGGAGCTTGGGGAGTTTAGGGAGTTTAGGAAGTTAAGGGACTTTAGGGAGTTTAGGGAGTTTAGGGAGCTTAGGGAGTTTAGGGAGCTTAGGGAGTTTAGGGAGTTTAGGGAGTTCAGGGAGCTTAGGGAGTTTAGGCGTGTGTTTGGGGTTGTTGCCCTGTAGGAGACCATTCTTGCGAGGGCTCCGAAGTATGGGCCCTTGAGTTTTATAAGGGGCTGTTTAGGGTTTCGGGTTTAGGGTATTTAGGAGAGGCCCCAATGTCTACTTGGGGCGGTCGTAGTATACCACACCAACAGAAGTGCTTTCATCAGGAGCCTTTAGGCGAGAACCCCAAAGCCCCTACCCTTTCTCCTGTAGGCTTGCTATAAATCTCATTGTCGGATTCGAACCCTAAACCCTAAACCCTAAACCCTAAACCCTAAACCCTAAACCCTAAACCCTAAACCCTAAACCCTAAACCCTTAATTTAAACCCTAAACCCTAAACCCTAAACCCTAAACCCTAACCCTAAACCCTAAACCCTACACCAACAGTCGGCTCGGGGGGCTCGCAATGGCTCGCAAGACTCTATTAAGTGTAGGGAGCCGGGATGGGGAAAGGGGGGGGGGGGGGGGCTGAAGGGCTTAGGGTTCAGGGTTAGAAAGGTTTGTTGATGGCCTCAAGGGATCCCTCTGGATTCCTCTACAACGGTTTAGGGTTTGGGGTTTAGGGTTTGGTTTTTTTTTGGTGGTCTAGGGTTTAGGGTTTAGGGTTTAGGGTTTAGGGTTTAGGGTTTACCAGTCTTTGCCTTGCAAGGGCGACGCGACAGCGACAGCACAAATGTAGTTCGAAGGTGCATGAATCAATGAAGGGCCTTGTCTTAGGGTTTAGGGTTTAGGGTTTAGGGTTTGGGGTTTAGGGTTTAGGGTTTAGGGTTTAGGGTTTAGGGTTTAGGGTCTAGGGACTGGGTAGGTAACCTTTAATGGATCTTTAGCCTTCTTGGTTCTATAGAGTTCTACTGAGTCCTGCTACACATAAGAGGTCGACCTTTTTGGGGATAGGGAATTCAGCCGCTAAGTTGTAT